GCGCAACGTTCTGAATGCCCTCCTCCTCGAAGCGGGAACTCAGTTGGATGAAGAGTCACTGCAAACATTCATGTGCGAGACAGAGGCTATTGTAAATAGCCGTCCTCTAACCGTGACTAATCTTGGCTCTCCTACCGACGCGGAACCCTTAACCCCAAACCACCTCCTGACAATGAAATCACGAATACTACTCCCACCACCCGGCGAGTTCCAGCGAGCAGACAAATATCTAGTGAAAAGATGGCGACGAGTCCAGTACCTTGTCAACCAGTTTTGGTCGCGTTGGCGTAAGGAGTTTCTCAACACTTTGCAAGGAAGGCAGAAGTGGACCAACCCTCGTAGAAACTTGCGTGTAGGCGACATCGTTCTCATCAAGGATGATAACGCGCCTCGAAACCTTTGGCGAAAGGCTCGCGTTGACGAAGTTTACACGGACGAAGATGGTTTGGTGCGAAAGGTCAAGCTTATTGTGGCAGATCCTCTGTTGAACGAACGTGGAAAACGAAGTCGAGTTGCGACCATTTTGGAACGTCCTATTCAGAAGCTAGTTGTACTTCTTAAAGTCGAAGACACGGAGAACGTTGAAGAGTGAAGATTCCCCGACAAGGAGCCAACTGTGAACTATTGAACATTATCGTCGTTGTTATTATATTCAGTTATGTTAGTGGTAAATTATCGTAATAGACAATTTAGGGGAGCCATGTAACTGCGAACCGTGTAAGGGCATATTAGTGCTCAGGCCCCACAAAAAACCATACCGTTTAATATACCAACTTGAACTTATGCGAACTTTTGCGAACTGTAGTTTACACGAAGGACTTATCTTAGTGATATTATTGTTAAAACATTCGTTTTACGTCAAGTTTAGACGTCAAGTTTAGACGTATGTAGAAGGATATTAAAGGTTAGATTCAACTTGCGTTAACGACTTACGACTATTCTTTAATCCTGGATGTCTCGTCTTGCTTGTCAGTATTTATGAACGAATGAACAATCCTAGCACATGCGTCTAATATCACTAACGAAACGCTAGGAGTTACAATAATTTCTTAGTTAATTTAATACACTTAATATAGACCAGGATTAAGCACAAGGCCAGAGAGGGGAACAACGAGGGCAAAATAGCCAGGGCCACTACACTGGATTCACTTGTTATATGACATCAACATATAGTCGTGTACTGTTAACAAGTCAACTGTTAATGGTCCGCATACAATAAATTGACTTGTCCGATTTTGTCATATAAACAAAATTCCTGATTTTAATAGTCCTGAAACTGTTAAATTTGATGTAAGTTGTGAGCAGTGGCATAGCCAGACTGAAACAGAAGTGGGGAAACAATCAATTGTGTCATCAAGAAATTGGTGGGTGGGTCAGTGAGGGAGCTGCCAAAGGCATGAGCCTGTTAGCGGGTCTGGGGGCACGCTTACCCAGAAGATTTTAAATCTGAGGCCTCTCAGACTACTCAGAGCCCTGAAATGCAATCAAATTCACTAGCTCAGTAAGGGACCAGTCATTTAATGCCGGGTAGGGGGCCGGAGGAAATTTAGAGGGGCCACAAAAAATTTTTACCAGTGAAGGGGGGGGGGGCAGAAAATATTTTGAACATAAAGGGGGGGGGGGCAAAAAATAAAATCTATGGAATAGTTTGTAACATGTAATATCAAAAGAGTAATGGATATATACAGTATACATACATACATTGAACAGTAATGCCCAATATATTGAACCTAAAGTTGTGTTCTAACTACTGTATATGGAAATTGTCATCCTCATCATCACTGTAGAATTTGTCTGAAGGGTCATGCACTGTATTTGCAACTATGCAAGATTCAATTGACAGTTGTTGTCCTGTTTTACGCTTTTTAACACAGCGGACCTCTTTGGAATGTTCTGTTTCTGCATGTTGCTGACAGTCTCTTCTGCCATCTCTTCAATATAATGCTTTCACCAGACACAAATGTTTTTTTATCAATTAGTAAAAGACTAGGCCTGATGTGTGGTTTTTTTGTTTGAGGGCCAACAACTTTTCAGGTATAAAGTCTGAATTGTCTATTGTGTCTATTGTGAAACTAAAGTCACTCCTGTCCACCTTGGCTATCATTTTCAATATTTACAATATTCTTTACAGCTGCAAGTAAACTGAGTATGAGGGCAGGAAAAATGCTTATGAAACTGACTTAGATTCATTGAATTCAGAATTGGGGGGAGGGGGCTATGAAATATGGTGCCTCAATGGGGGGGGGGGGGATAAATTTTGATTTTGTTAGAAAAATAATGGGTCATGAGAAATTTTTGCTATTCATAAAAATTTCCTCCAGCCCCCTACCCGGCATTAATAATGACTTGTCCCTAAAAACAATCCGTAAGAATCATTTACAAAAAAAATCATGTACTGGACATGTATTTCCACAACCAAGTGGAATACACAAAGAACTACAGCAAGAATGTTTTTATTAATTAACCTAACTGTGGATCCTTCCTCTCTCTTGAACAAATTGTTATCTTTGCCTGTCATTGTCTTGACTTTCTTGGAATTAGTTACAGAGAAACTATGATTAACTAGTGGATAATGATTCACCATTTCAGTACTATGTAAAAATACTTTAATTAGTACACATGCAGTTTTATGGATGAGAAGAAGTATCCACAATTTTGATAATAAATGCTGTTTTTGAGGTGGGAAAATGTGTAATAATATTAGTGTAATATGATTGTTGTCTTTTGTCTTGCAGGAATTATTGGTTATATTGCGGGCATCACAGAACATGGGACAAGGCATTAAAATACAGAATAGCCAAAAGCGAAGTCATAATAATTAATACCACAGTAACTTAATTATCTGATGGCAATCATATATGGATTTTTTGGGGGGATGCAGGTGGTGTGCACCCCCAAAAATATTTTCACCACCTCAGAAAGTTTTCCCACCCCACCTAGAGATATTTGCACCCACCCCAGAAATTTAAATGCTGGTTTGATTAAATGACAGCAGTATAATTGAACTAAATAAGAACTAAATAAGACTTAAAACAAGGCCAAAAATCTCGAAATATCCTGGGGGTCGGTGCCCCCAACCTTACCCCAACTCTGTCCCCACTAGTGACTGTACCCTCAGCATGGGCATACAGGAAGGAAAAAATTAGGTGGACGGAAAGAAATTTGCCTGACTTTTTCGGATTATGCCCGAGTTGTCAAAAAAAAATTTCCAGAGAAACTTTCCGAAATTGTTGTCAACAGGGGGGGAGGATGCTACGAAAAATTCCTATTAGATAGCATATTTCCCACAAGATTGACAGAATAATAAGCCAAATACTGCCCAACTGGCTTTGTTTGCCCAACAAACTGGGGGGGGTGGCAGTGCCGCCCAGAGGGGAGGGGGGGGGCAAAAGGGGCAAATTGCCCCGGGCCCCGAGTTACTGGGGGCCCCTGAAAAATTTTTGTTGGACCCCAGCCTTTTTTGTGTGTTAAATATTTCCGCGCAAAGGACAAGATATCTAGCTGTTTTCTTGGGCTAAGTACCGAATTTTGGCATAAAAAAATGAGATAAAAGTCCCTCGAAAGCAATTGCAACGTACTCGTCCGGAAAAATTTTGTACTCCGGAAAATTTTTTTTACCCCTAAAATGGTTCACTACTGACCGGGGGGGGGGGGGGGGGGGGAGGCTGTTCTCCGGAAAAAAATTCCGGGAAAATATTTTTAGATAGGGGCCCCTAAAAAAAAATTTGCCCCGGGCCCCCGCCAACCTCTGGGCGGCCCTGGGGGGGGCACACCCATGGTAGACCCCGGTAGACCCTGCTGCATCTTACTCAGCACACCATGTGCTCACTTTCCACCCCTGAATTTTTCTGCACACCCCCACCCCAAGCAAAATTTGAAAATGTCTATAGATTATGGTGATGATAACATAAAAGTATAAACCTTTATTACCGTAAGTTAATGTTAATTAATTAAGACTATTAAGTTAACACATGCTCCACTACATCATGTACACTTAATTAATTACAATGATTTTAGTGTTAATTTAAAATTATTCACTGTTAATAATTCTACTGTATTGAAGAAGTTCAAATAAAATAGTTCAAAATTAATCCAGCTTTTGTGTCTTCAATTTCCATACATCTTGCTTGGTACTGCCCTACTTTTACTTGTCAATGTCAGAGCCACTCTATGGGTTAATTGGGAAACCAGAGTGAGTCAGGACAAATGCCAAATTATGATATGACAATTGTGAGATAATTCTGGAATAAACAAAAATATATTATATGTTGCAACTTTGAGCACAAAAATGATGATGGGAAAAACAAAACAATGTGACTCAACTCCAAACCAGAGACACCAGAACCATTGGTGCAATTATCAGGCTTTTAATGGTATAATAATCAAAAGTGGCCAGGATACAAGGTACCTTCCCAGTGCAAGGGAAGCAACATACAGTAGTTGGTGTTCCAAATTGTTAAACCCATTAAGCTGCAGACAGGGCTGTACACAGGATTTTTTCACCGGGGGGGGGGAGTAAGGCCTATATGCCGAAAAAGTCCCAAATATCCAAAGAATAATTAATGACATTCTAAAAATCGTGAATATAGTTTTCTCTGGGGGGCAGTTGCCTCCCCGCTGTGTATGGCCCTGGCTGCAGAGCTTCCCCAGTGGGGCGCATAGCAGCTCAATTGGTTAATTATAAAGGTTATGATAGACGTTATGTACCACCTGAGCTTTCATCACCCCTACAACCCTCTGCCCCCAACAATGTGTTATAAATGGCCAATGTACTACCTTTTCATCATACAGCAGCAACATTTTCTTGGGGGGGGGGATCCAAAAATCTTGACATTGATTAGCCTTGTATGCAAAGTTGGCACATATTACACAAAACCTGAATATATTTAAACACATACCTGACATACCGTTTGCTTTGAAGGAACGTCTGGAGTTACTGTAATACCATTTTCTAAAGTACAGTATAGATAACAAAAAGTTTTAGTTTCTGCAACCAAATTTTGAAATATATACAGATAACAGATTGCCAAATTACACCAAAAAAAACAGCAAAAGGCTGTTTTCTTAACAAAAAGATTGCATTTCATCGTCAAGCTTAAGTTTAGCCTACCAATTTTATGTGAGATAAGATAAAGCATAAATAAAATTGAATGAAATACCTGTTTATAGCTCGCTGATTCAAATATCCTCTTTGGCTTTGCTCACATTTTGCGAGGACAGCGAGGTTTGAATTTTGTTGTCTTTCTCAGGAAGAATAACTCGTACGACTTGCACATCTTTGAACCAATAACCAAGTTTAGAAAAAATATCTCGAAAACATTTTAAAAATCGATTCAAATATCGTGAAAATACTACAAAACCCGAGCAAAATTGCAAAAATCTAAAGTTTTTTAAAGAAAACCAGGGGGGGTGGGAATTGTAGCGGGCTCAGATCCGAGCCTGGTCAGTGGTAATTACCATGAGAAATACGGACCAGTTGTCATGGAGATGGCGTCAGCAAAGGCCGAAATCCGCCATGTTTTTGGCTTCACTTTTTTTTCCCGTGCAGGTCCTCCAGTAATATAGTATAGCTCAGTGGTCAAATCTCGAAAACATGTAAAAACAAGGTTTTTGATGTTACTATGAGTGTATATCCACACCGGGCAGGCTGAAAAGTTAGCCTGACCACGGTGGGAATCGAACCCGCGGCCTTTGGGATACTAGTCCTTAACATAAAAAATACACAGAAAAATATCATGTAAAAACAATCTCGCTACAAACGATTTCGCCACTGGCCGGATTTACAGTTCTGCTCATACAGTATGAACAGGTCCTTATATAATAATGTCCTGAATTTTCTGAAACTTTAGAACACAAATGAAAATGGTGTCCTTGACAAAGGTTCTGAATACAGCGATGGCTGCGGTGAAAACAACGACTGTATGACTATGTTATCATTACAAGTAGCTATGTTGATGATTATGAAACCTTTACCCAAGTTTTGCACTGATTATCTTTTACCGTAAGTACCAGAAATACATTTATGCAAAATGTTACATTATTAATTGTTGAATTCAGAACAATATTAAAGCCGACATAATTATTTTAAACATTGTTAAGGTAAATGTAAACACAAGGTGACAGCATTCTGGCCTAAAATATGTTATTTTGAAATTACACTAAAATGAATCGCTCACTTTTCTGCAGAGAAAAGTAAAGTTAGCCGGCGAGGATCTGAAACGTCGTGTAAGGCTCTGCGTAGGAGAGAGAATGAATCATCAGTTCAAGGTTCAACTGATCATGTGAATTGCAGGCGCATGAAACATACTAGCATATAGTTATTCTGGCCACTCTCGCACACTAAAAAGATTTTTGGATCATGAGACAGACATGCTTTGTGAAAACTAGCGCCTCCCCTGTAGCCACCTCCCTATTAACGTTGCATCATATGCATGGCCAATAGCGACCATGAACGTGTAGAATGCGACGGCGACGGTAAACAAGCTCATTGAACCAAGTGATTACATAAGAAAACTTGACGTTTATTATCCATTGTGTGAAAAATAATACATTTTTAAAAGGATCAACGTCAACACAGTGTTTATGATTGAGAAAAGTTCTAGGATCCAATTCAAAGTAGCAGTTCTCCCGGCTTTGAAATGCAAGCGTTGTATACAAGGCATAATGTCTGGGCTGGAGGTTACCTTTACTTAGGTTTACCCCAACCTTACCTTATCTTACCTTACCTTACCTATACCTTACCTTACCTATACCTATACCTTACCTTACCTTACCTTACCTTACCTTACCTATACCTTACCTTACCTTACCTATACCTTACCTTACCTTACCTTACCTATACCTTACCTATACCTTACCTTACCTTACCTTACCTTACCTTACCTTACCTTACCTTACCTATACCTTACCTTACCTTGCCTTGCCTTGCCTTGCCTTGCCTTGCCTTGCCTTGCCTTACCTATACCTTACCTATACCTTACCTATACCTTACCTTACCTTACCTTACCTTACCTTACCTTACCTATACCTATACCTTACCTTACCTTACCTTGCCTTGCCTTGCCTTACCTAATTTAGCCTAACCTTATTTTACCTTGCCTTGCCTTGCCTTGCTTTATCTTACCTTATGTCATATTATTTAGAATCCTTGAGCGATTTTGGCACAGGTATATAAAACGAGGATGCTGTTGGTGCTGCAAGGATCGAAAAGTTCATAGCTCATTTGAAATCTCAGTTGAAGAAGTTATTCAAAGCGAGTTAGAAAAACCTGAACTTGGAGATTTTACAATATCTGAATATAATGAAAAAGGCAAGTTATTAGTTATCATTGTGAGGTATACAACTAAAATGGACTCTAACTTGGACTGTACCTCGCACTGTTTTATAGTTTAATGCATTGTGAAAGATTTAAAGACTTTTCAATACAGCAAAATTAGGTTTTTCAAGTGTTGATATTTGTTCCAGTCGATTTCAAACTTCAGAAAACGTTACAAAGCCAGGAGAACTTGTAATGGTGATACACGAAACATGTAAAATGACCTGTAAATTTTGTTTTCGCACATTTACCAGGCTTTTTGTTTATTTTTTAGTTATACAGTATGGATTTTTAATGGTATGTTGAGCACTATCAAAGTTAAATTTTATTCCTCTGCTCATCCGTGTGTTTAAAATTTACATAATTGTAATTTACCTTGTTTCTGTTCGTTTGTTTAATTACGTATCTTTTAATTTTATATTTGAATTTGTTCTTATCTTTCTTCTTCTGGGCTAGCTCGAATATCATTGGCTAGTTTCCTCCAATCTTCACGGTCGTCCATGGTAGTTTTCAACTATTCAGTGGTTAGTTCAGTGTCTTTCTTCAACTGAACAACAAACGTAATTGCTGGTCTTCCCCTCTTCCTAATTTCTTGCCCTGGCTGCCACAGTAATACTTGACTTGCCTTTCCACTTTTCTCCTCCACATGTGCCCAATAAACTTTATTGTGATATTGTGATGCTGCTAAGGTCCAGCTAATTTGTGTTCTTTCCATGAAACATCGAGTAGGCTACCACTGTTAGCATTCGCGTATACCTGCGATCCAGTCGGTGATTCATTTGGTTTGTAAGGGTGGATTTATAAAGTATGATTATATGTTTAAAGGACGTCTTTGATCGGCATCTAGTTGATATCAGAGCGTTCATAAGATAGGGCGGTGAAAGGAGCCGTGTGCTTTGAAGTATATGTGTGAATGTGATGTTTTCCTGCAATTTATATAATGTCTCCCGAGTTATTTTCCTTGTACGTCGTGTTTGATCACACATTGCAAAGAAAGTTTAAAAAACTGATACTTATACCTAATAATGGAGTAGCTGCCCCGGGGTTTTTGCTAAGTTCTGGTGACAGTATAAGTTATTAAAAAATATCAGTAGGCCTACACATCGAAAGCAGGTTGGAACTGCTGAAGAAGCCGTGATGAAGAATACGCAAGCTTGCTTGCAGGCAATCTACAGTTTTTCATTATATTTTGGTTTATGGTCAGGAATGGTCGTACCAATAAAAAGAACAAGTATTATTCTGTCAAATATCAAAGTGCCACAAAACGCTTTTAAGCGAGCCTTGGAGTGCGCGCGAGTCAAGTTTAATGAAATTTTTATGCACATGCATTGCAAAGTTCAAAACATTTTGCCATGAAAGTTGAGAGGAATAAAGATTAATACTTTCTGAGTTATGAAATAAGTGAAACGTTTCAACAAGAGAAGAATATGAGAGAAGTCAGAGTGATGGTCGGCTTCAATGTAGAAAATTTTCGTTGCTTAGCTTATAAGAATGCCTCAAACCACGTTGTATCTACAATTAAAGGCATGAATAACAAAATACAGAAATATACCTACCATCGAGTAATTTCAACATAATAAGAAATTTTAATCAGCCTCCTTCAGGTTCATTGTTTTGATGAAATTCACAGCTGGACGCGCTAGCCCCAGGCCTGAAGCGCATCACACATGTTTCAGTTCGTTCTATTACCGTTTCACCACCCTATCTTATACACCCCTTGATTATGTCGAAACATCTTTCGTTCCATATAATATATTACACTATACTTTTACATTTAATGAATTTATTCTCATTATGTTTTTGTCCAGCTCTTTGCCGCAGCATTTCCCCTGGCTCCCTTGATTGCCCTAGTCACCAATATGTTTGACTTGAGATTGGATGCTAAGAGACTACTCTGGACAAACAGACGTCCTGTGGCGTATAGAGCTGAGGATATTGGTAAGAAAAACATCTAGTTATAAAAGATTGTGGTCTACAATCCTTGGGGTAATTCTTAATATCCAGTATCTGTCCAGTGGGCTCCATATATAGCCGGAGCGAGAACTTGAGTCCAAAAAGTGTCGCGAAGATGGCGGAAATTGAAGAGCTATTGGACGTCAGTTCCAGTCCTTTTCTATTGTTTTTGTCTGCACGGTTAACACGAAGCTGGCAAGGAATGTACCGAAATTTCGTATTTTGACATTGATTTAAAGAATAATACTATGGTTTTATGAACTGATAACTTGTTTTAGCGATACGGTCGTTAAAAAATGGAATTAAAACTGTTTACGACCGTCAATTTCCGCCATCTTAGCTTCACTTTTCTCATAGACCGAATGACTGAAGTTCTTGCTCCAGATATATAGAGCTCACTGTAACTGCCATAGTATATCAACTGCTGACGTGATCAACGTGCAATAATTCCATTTTTGGACCGAACTTAGTTCCAAAAAAATATTATTGCACGCTGTATAGCCCTAGTCCCCAGCGCGGTTGGTAGCTTGTATATAAATCCCGTAAAATTTTAAAATAACAAAATGGCTTGTAGTGATTCCTTCTTTACAGAAAAAAGGAACTGTGCAAATTATTGTCAGCAAAAGACAGTGACAGCACCGAAATTGTTACACAATAATGCAGAGCTATCTTCGACTGATATTTGTTCTTTTTTCTTTAAATAATATTCTTGTTTCTTCTTTTCCACCGGCCGACAGTCTTGGATTTCTTGTTGGTTCGTTTGAATGTACAATAAAATATCTTTATTGCTAAACTTGTCAGAATTAAAAAACCAAGACTGACCGGTGATGATTCGGTCATACTGTAGTTACTTTGAAGTTGCCCTTTGCCCAAATTTGAATCACATGGAAGCAATCTAAATTTTAAGCTTAAATTTCCATATGTTTTCCAGGCATGTGGTATTCAATTTTGGAATTTTTAAATGTCGTTGGCGTTGTGACCAATTCATTCCTAGTGGCATTTACATCACAATATGGTCGGCATTGGGAAGGTGATTCGACATATATCTCAGTTAGCCAAGAGATGCATAACTCCACCACAAATGCAACTGTTCTTCTTCAAACCATCACCGAGCAATCTCCAAGTAGAAACAGACTGTGGTTGATAATTGGGTTTGAGGTAAACTACGTTTAATTCCATTAACCTACAGTACATAAAAAATACTTAATTCTGATTGACTGACAGTAGTGCAAATTTTGTAACAGAGTGCAAAAAATGAAATTCATCTTATCTTATTCGTTGATTGTTTCATCCAATTGCACTTGGATATACATGCAGCCAAAAAAGAAAATCAGTATTAAAAAAAGAAATTCAGTGCCAAAAAGGAAATACGTGGCAAGCATCTATAAAACAAAAGAAATTTTGAATAAAGTTTTTACAGTTGAGAACCTGTATTAAGTTGTTAGCCATTGAAATGAGTGAGTAAATAATTTATTTCGTAGGTGTTTCAAGTGACCATGAATTTGCTTCTATAATTTTTATCATTTATAGACCTGGACGGCTGGAGCGAGGGGGATTCGGCGAAATATTACCCGAAGTGATATTTCCCGAGGGGCTTTGCCCCGAGGGAAATATCATCACTGAGGGTAATATTTCGCCGAATCCCCCGAGCGGAGGGTCTATAAATGATATATTATACCGAAAATTAAAAGCCTCCAAGTTGAAAATTAAAAACTTGACACATACCTTCGTGAATACGATGTTTTATTTTCGGATTAACGCAAGTATCGTAGCTTTTCTTTCGAATCACATATCGTTTGGAATATTAATGACAAAGCCCCAGGTTTTAGGTTTGAAAAAGCTCCAGGTTTTAGGTTTAAAATTGAATTATTCATCACTCATTAATACTATTTAATATGTTTTGTCGGCCATCTTGTTGTCATGCGTGTTGTCCCGCGTGGTCTACGCGAATAATGTTCCACCCCATGTTCCCCGGGGAACATGGGGTGGAACATTGTCAAAAGAAACGCAGGCTCGCTAATTGATGACGTAAGGCGTGATATCGCGATTAATTTCATGCTCACGTGGCACAAACTAAGCTTCCTGATTGGACAATTTGAATTTGAGGTATAATATTTTCATGTATATACTGTATTATTAATAAATAATAGTATGGCTTCTCATGCAAGTTGCAAAAACATACACTCGTGAGTTTTTCAATGACTGACAATTTTGACGCCTTTGAGAAACTCACTAGCTCGTGCATGCCCCTCTCCCTCCAAATTGCACTCAAAACCATACTAAATGACAAACTGTATAAACGATAAAAATATTTTCAAAATTCCAGTGTTTTTTGCCATACAGGCGAAGAATTTATTAACGGCCATATTCCACTTTCAGCACATCGTATTTGCAGTGAAATTTCTCATCGCGCTGGTTATTCCTGACGTTCCATCTCATGTGAGAATAGCAGAGAGGCGGGTATGTAAAAATGATCAAAATTTGAAAGAGAGGAGTGTCTGCCCACAACCAACTGGAGGTTCTTGTTGTTTGTTGCGTGTACACCCCCAAAGAAAAGTTAAGGAAGGAGGCCAATTTCCCCAGAGGGCCCCCCAAAAATGCTGAAATTGCGGAACGTGTTAAATTTTAAGGAATATTCTGAGAAATTGAGCTGAAAAATTTTGGAAAACGTATTTTTAACACCCCCACCCCCGGGTCCAAAAAAGGTTCGGGAAAACATTTTTGGGAAATTTTACTTTTACAGGAAAACGATGACCTGCCCTGCCCCCAAATGTTTGAGTTCACCCCCAACGACATATCGCTTGGTACGTCCCTGCGTTCAATATAAATTTCCCGTTACAACACTGTTCTAGTTATTATTAAGTTAGGAGTGGGGTTAGAGTTAGGCCCAGAGTTCGGACAAGTTTTAGGATTAGGATTTTATGGATTGAGGTACAATAATTCCCTGCATTTCAATTGTATTTGTTAATATTGGAAAATGACCCTTCCTCGTCATTCTTAGGAAAAATACCACGTTGATCAGTTGCTGGAAAAAGCTGGAGTGAGCACAGGGCCACAGAAGAAGCCTTCGCAAACAACTGATCGAAAAGATATGGAAGTACAAACTGAGCCTAATACCGCCTATCCAGTAATTTCAATGTCTGAAGAAAACGCTGAAATTGTTCATTCAACAATACGTCCGGCTACAATATCACATCAGACCGAGGTCCATCCTGAATTACGTTCCCGCGTTACGTCACAGCCTAAGACGAGCAATGACGTCATTGCGGGAAGCACGAATGTAGTGGGACACTATGAACATACACATTTTGTTAATCCACTGCCGTCCCCTCTTCCCTCAGGATACAAACCAAATTTAGCAGTTGTTGACAATTCTACAGGCAGTACCTCCCTAGCGTGAAAACATGCTGTCAAATAGTCTCAGCTATGACCAATGGTTATTTAATGTGGGACGGAGCCTTGCAGAATGGAAATTTTTGAAAGATTTGCTACCAACGTGAACACACCAATGTATGTAGCAATGTATAATGGGAAAAACAACAACTGTCAACAGTCTAACAATATATCCATCACAGACACATATATAATAGAAGAGGTCCTCCCCGAAATATGGTATGATTGAATTGTGTACGTACGAAATGTACACTACATACAACATAATGTGAACATACAAGAGAATGCAAGAACAATTTGTGGTATTCCACCAAAAAGGAATAAAATTGGTCTCGAATACATATTTCATGCAATAAATGAGCTAACAACTTATGAACCAAATAATGAATAACATAAGAAACATTTCCAAGCAGACTTTATTGAACGCTTCCGTCAACTAATAACTATGAACTAATTTCTTTAGCGAGAACAATTGGCAAAAACGAAAAAGTATAAAGTAAAAGCTAACGAATGTCAAATATGACAAAAATGACGTGAACCATAAAGTAATTATCGTATTATGCCTTAGGGTGGTAACAAGACAGTGTCAATGACATGCATTACTCCATTGTAAGCAATAATATTAGCTTGGATCAGTGTTGTGTTTTTGTTAAATACCACTTTCGTTCCGCTTGCTGTGACACTGATATCCTCACCTTCATACGTTGTTACTGAGCCAGTCTCGAAACCAGCTAAACAAGTTATCGTTTCCAGTATATGATACTCAAGGACGTCAACTAAGAACTGGTGGTTATCATTCATTTTCTCTACCACGTCGTGTGCCAGTTTTCCAAATGCATCATCATTTGGTACAAGCACTAAATAAATACATAAAGCGAGAAATAGATATTCATGTAATATTTAAAATATGTCGAATTTCGAGTCAGAGGTGTCAATTTTTGAAATGAAATCTGAATCATCAGATGGATGAATCTTTATGCGATTGCAAGGCAAGATCTCGGTCTTGATTAAAAATTGAACGATCCCTGTATAGGAAATTTTAGCTCCAGTTGAAAAATGGTAGAAGTAAAGCTGGACATGTTTCAAGTATATTCATGTGACCAGTATTTCTAATGTTAACAATTAGGACCGCCGAGAGGTTGCGCGGAGTCCGGGGCAACACTTTTAAAGGAGAGGGAGGGGGCTACGACGTCATAATTGTAAAGGGGGAGAAACAGTGTTTTACAATATATTACACTTTATTGCATATTGTTCCACTCACACTAACGCAGCTAGGATTTATATTTTCAGTTAAGCAATCTTGTATCAAGAAATGTTAAGGGCCTCCCGGGTTGCTTTGGGAGCCCCTTTTGAGCTGGGGGACCCATGGCAAAGTGACCTCCCTCTTGGCGGCCCTGTTAACAACTGTGGTGTAGTTTTGTTTTGAGTCACAAGGTGAATAAAAATCTTGTGAAATTAACTAATTCATATAACTTGTTACAAGCTCTCGTGGTTGTAACAAAGGAGTAGCAAATGCTTGCTGTGACTATAGAGTATAGTTTGGATTTGTTTGCATGGGAATAGACCCTTTCGATAATTACGTCACATATCTTGTTTTGGCCTGGGAGCCTCGCTCTCGTGAATTGTGAGCCAATCATCGTTCATCTTGAAACATGAGAGTAAAGCTCCCAGGCCAAAGTAATATACGTGACGTAATTATCGAAAGGGTCTACTGGTATGAATTGTTTATTTGTTTTATTTGCATTGGATTATTTGGTCTACATGTGAACTCATTTGTCGGTATAATTCCCATGCTTATTAGGTTGTGTGCATTATTTTATTTTGTGTTAGGTTTTCTGTCGTTCCAACCTAACAGTGCATGCAATACTTACATGTTGTTGGAGTTGGGTTCTGCAGTACCTGTTGAAGACCACCCGTTTTCACATATTTGAGAAATGATGAGAATGTTGAAGTTGCGGTTAGAACATTATAGATGTTTCCTTCAGGTGGCACCATAACCCCATTCATTATATCCAGTATACCATTGTTGTATGTCCGGTCTATCACACTGCCAAATGCTTGACATGATCCATAATACGCCTATTTAAAGACAAAATATATCGGTGATAAAATACATCGGTGATTTACTTAGATATTTTCATTGAAACACAATGTAACAAAACAGTTCTGGAATAAGTGCGTTTTTTTTCCATATGCAAAACAAAGTAACAAACACAGACTTTTTCGAGTGAAATTCACTGCATATTAGTTTAGTATTCATTCACTATTACTGACTGTTCAAAATTTCAACTAAATTGCTAGATCTAGCTGCTCCTGCTGGACATGAATTCCCTAATTTCGTTAGGCAGAGCTAGTATGCGTACTAAATGGGATAAAATATATCACAGCCCGCAATTTCAATTTTGGATGCCCACGCATCAACTCTCATATGTAAGACCATAATTGTTAATATATGTTAAAGAAAATATACATTCTTCATGGTGAAAATCCCTAACGCAATGTACTCGGACCCATATTAAATTCATAAAACAGTTTGAGCAAATTATAAGTTGTGCGTGATCATAAAAGTTAGTCATATAACCCTAACCTAAGTTTAACACCATCTGACTGTTAATTATATGTTCCTTACACGAGGTAGTTATTTAAAACCGCAGGTCAGACCTCCTCAAAATACCTGAGGTTTACCCCTGAAAAGATCTGGATTTTGAATATTTAACTTGCGCATTTGATTGGCAGATTAGATTCAATTAGATTGTTTTGTTTGCCTTTAGCTTAGTTTAGCTGTTCATGTACCGATGTCGGCTCACTTTGAAGGCCCACTACGTTGGCTCATTTTGAAGGTTAGATGGAAAACACGGAGTCGGAGTTCCGGAGTCGGAGCCCCGGAGTCGGAGTCCCGGAGTCTGACGTCATAAAAATATGGAAAACACGGAGTCATGGAAAACACGGAGTCTGACGTCAGAGAAAATATGGAAAACACGGAGTCATATGGAAAACACGGAGTCTGACGTCATAAAAATATGGAAAACACGGAGTCATATGGAAAACACGGAGTCTGACGTCATAAAAATATGGAAAACACGGAGTCATATGGAAAACACGGAGTCATATGGAAAACACGGAGTCATAAAATATGGAAAACACGGAGTCTGACGTCAGAGAAAAATATGGAAAACACGGAGTCTGACGTATTGTCAGCGTGAAATATGGAAAATAGTAATTAAATAATATATAATTTATGCGAATATAAACAAACGGACGAATTAATATAACGAATTAGAAATTTTCTGCACTAATTCTGGTTATTTCTCTAAAATGTCGTGAAAATATGGATTATTTATTTTTAAATACAAGCAAGCAAATAATATTGTTTCTCTTGTCGTGTGACTTGTTCAGTTGTACAATATTTGAAGTGATTTTAATGCGGATTTTGTTCACCTCCTATGGTATGTTGATAAAAATATAGTTTATATACTTTAATATAATAATACTGCTAGAATATTTCATAGTCGATTTAATGTAATATTAACACACAAAATCTTGACACAAAACAGATATGCTGCTTGGGAACAGCGTGCAATATTGTTATTTACTAATAAATAGATGCAGCCAGCCAATACACAAATCCGTGCAGTATATTAAAGGCCCTGTTACACGGTGCAATTTTTCATGCAACTTGTCTCGCAATGGCGTTGCGAGACAAGTTGCACGAGTCATTGCACCGTTTAACATGCCTTGCAATGGTCAAAATCTTTGCGAGACAAGTTGCATGAAGCATTGCACAGAGTAGAAGTCGGTTCTACTTTTGGCAACGATTGCACTAATTATTTCTAGCATTGCAGCGTGTAACATGGCTTCGTGCAACTTGTCTCGCAATGTTTATAGCTTGGAGAGTTCCTATTGGCTCTCCCCAGTACACGCTTTACTTTAATTAAAATTTGGCGCCAAATAGCGCCTCTCCTTAGTCTCTTCGCATGCCTCTGTCCCCTATCGTTGTGAGTTGCATGAAAATCATTGCAGCGTGTAACACCTCTTGCAATGCACTATCAAAATCTTTTTTTAAACATTGCGAGACAAGTTGCATGAAAAATTGCACCGTGTAACAGGGCCTTAATGGCATTAAAAAAGTTTTCGGGTGTCCAAAAAAATACCTGCACTATAGTGATAAGTCCATACCAAGTTAATATCTCTAACATATAAGTTTTAGGTTTTTATACTGAATTAAATATCATGCAATATCATAAGTTGCAATTAATCAAGCCATTGATATTTGAGTGATCAAGAAGACAATTAAGATAGGTATTTATAACTGACCATTTGTTCCAGCTAGGCTTAATTGCATGATACCATTGTAAAATCGTCTGGCGTTAGGCAGAGTAAAATATAAAGTAGGGTACATCTGGGCACAGATATTGCCACTTAATTAAAGGGTTAATATAGAAATTTTGTATTTCATAAAGTATTACTGGAATAACAATGCTTTTGAAAGGGATAATTTTAACTGTGTATCGAACGGTTCAGGTTTATATTAACATTATAAATGATAGTAATGACGTAGAGACAACGCGCCAATCAGAAGCTAGTGTGGCACGCCCACAACCCGCCTTCTTGGTAGAGTTCACGCCTCCAGACATGGCGAAAATATAACAAAGCTAGCGCCAGTGCCGAACCGGCTGTTTTATTGTGATATGTGTTTAAATGTTATTAAATATATAGTAAAATTGAACGTTGTTAACATGGCGCCCAACGTGGGGCGCTAGCTTTGACGAAAGATCGAATTAAAATCGAAAATATCGGAGTTGTTTACGCGAGAATATGAGCGAGCCGAACAAAGATTTGAAAAGGATACGAGCTATTCGCTCGGGAAATCGGGGAGTTGTTACGAGATACAGCAAAGAAGCGATCGAGCTGTTAGATCAGGGGGAGTGAAACGAATAAGGATCGACTACGAACAATAGCGAATTTGTTAAACGAGAAAATAATACGACTTAAAGAGCTCGATGCTCAAGTGCTAGAGTTATGCGAAATCGACGATATCGAACGAGAAATCGAAGAAACGGAAGAAATGTTTTCGAGAGCAAGCGATGTAAGTAGTAGAATCGAGAAATTTACGAGTGCGACGGGCAAGGTAATCGATAAACCTGGGCCAACGACTTCTAAAACAAGCGAAATAAACACTGATGTTGTCTCCAACGAGGGGACAAGTCAATCGAACGACGAGCAACTACAAGTGGAAACATCGAGCAACCATGAATCGAACCAAGTGGAAACATCGAACAGTCATGGTTCGAACCAAGTGGAAACATCGAACAATCATGAAGCGAACCAAGTGGAAGCATCATCAAATACCATCAACGCATCAACGGTACAATCTGTGTTACAACCCGGATCGACAGTGCACTACGCACCTGCAATTAAGCTACCCAAGTTGGTACTACCGAAATTCAAAGGAGATATTACAAACTATCGAACTTTTTGGGAAAGTGTCCAGAGCGCTGTACACCGAAATTCGTATTTAACAAACATTGACAAGTTTAACTATCTTTTGTCATTATTAGAGGGAAATGCGCTTCGAGCAATAAAGGGACTGGCAGTTACAGCGGATAACTACCAATCGGCTATTGATATATTACAGGAGAGATTCGGGAAATCGCAACAAATCATAGCAGCCCATATGGATGAACTTTTGAAGTTAGCTCCATGTGTTGGGGAGAAATCATCGCAATTGCGGTTTGTATATGACAAAGTAAGTGTCAACGTTAGAGGATTAGAAGCTCTTGGTGTGAAACCGGATCAGTACGGGAGTTTACTAATTCCAGTTATTATGTCCAAGATACCTGGGGACGTTCGACTTGAAATCGCTAGAAAATCGGATAAAGAGGTATGGGAGATAAAGGAGTTATTAGAGATAATACGAAAGGAAGTGGAAGCTCGTGAATTAAGTGATCATGTAAGGGCCGACAGCGAGAAGAAGGTAAAACCACCACCTCGTTTTCCATCTACGACTACCTCGCTAGCAGCTCAAGGGAGGGATAGTAAACCGTATGGTGCGATCAGATGTGCCTACTGTGGGAATCTGCATTATTCAGCTTCGTGTGAATCGAAAGTGAAACCCAGTGAGCGAAAGGAAATTTTGAGACGAGACAATCGTTGTTTCGTGTGCTTACAAGTCGGTCACCGTGCCAACCAATGTCATCCGTCGAAAAGGTGTCGTCGATGCGAAGGGCGACATCACCAATCAATTGGCGAAAAGGTTGTGGCAAAATTCCCAAACGCTGGTGGAAAAGATAAGGATTATAAGGACGGTGATTCAAAATCGACAACTAAAGAAGAGCAGCCCGAAACAAGTGCAAGCAAAGGCGCAACCATTACTGCATGTCAAAATTCGACAACTGCAGCAACTCGATCGAAATGTAAAGTTTTCTTGCAAACTGCGACCGCGTATGCTTACTCGAAAGTGGAAGATGCTTTAATTCCTGTACGTGTCTTGATGGACAGCGGAAGCCAGCGATCGTATGTGACAGAGTCGTTGAAGGAAAAGCTAGGTCTTAGCTCGGAAAAACTGAAGTTTTGAACTTGAATACATTCGGAGATGATAGATTTGTTAAACAACGATGCGATCGAGTTCGTGTAGAATTGCAAGGGAAATCGAAAGACATTGAAATCGCAGCACTCTGTTATCCTAAGATTTGCTCGCCCCTTTTGACAACGCTTGACCTTGACCGACATACACACCTGCAAGGGTTGGATCTGGCTGATGAAAGTCTGCTTAACGACAGTGATTCGGCACAGAATATCGACATCTTAATTGGTTCCGACTACTATTTCGACATAATTACGGGTGAGATACAACGGGGAGACGGGGGCCCTGTGGCAGTTAATAGCGAATTCGGATGGATGGTCTCCGGCAGTGGTTATGCAAAGACACCTGGAAAGAATGCAACTATCACGCAACTCATTGTTCAGAAAACGGATTCTGCCCTGAGGTTCGATCCGGTGGAAAGTGTTGGAGACGAAGGTTTGATCCGCGCTGTTCAAAGGTTTTGGGACACAGAATCGCTTGGCATCTTCGAGCCAAACCCGTCGCTGGAGAAGGAGTTTTTGAGAGATTCAAATTTCGACAAGAACCAGGGTCGATATCAAGTGAGCCTTCCCTGGAAGGATGATCGTATGCCCACAACAAATGGATATTTTCCATGTTCGAAACG